TCAGGGCCTCAGGTCAGTCGTGGGGAGATCAATGGGCCTCAGGTTAGTCGTGACGAGACCAATGGGCCTCAGGTCAGTCGTGATGAGATCAGGGCCTCACGTCAGTCGTGAGGAGATCAATGAGTCTCAGGTCAGCCGTGATGAGATCAGGGCCTCAGGTCAGTCGTGAGGAGATCAATGGGCCTCAGGTCAGCCGTGAAGAGGTCAGGGCCTCAGGTCAGTCGTGAGGAGATCAATGGGCCTCAGGTTAGTCGTGACGAGACCAATGGGCCTCAGGTCAGTCGTGATGAGATCAGGGCCTCATGTCAGTCGTGAGGAGATCAATGGGCCTCAGGTCAGCCGTGAAGAGGTCAGGGCCTCAGGTCAGTCGTGAGGAGATCAATGGGCCTCAGGTTAGTCGTGACGAGATCAATGAGCCTCAGGTCAGTCGTGACGAGATCAGGGCCTCAGTCAGTCGTGAGGAGATCAATGGGCCTCAGGTCAGCCGTGATGAGATCAGGGCCTCAGGTCAGTCGTGAGGAGATCAATAGGCCTCAGGTCAGCCGTGAAGAGGTCAGGGGAAGCCAGGCAGGCGTGAGGCATGGCGAAACTATTTTCAGCGACATGGGTGGGGAACATCCACCTTTCACAGGTGCCAGGGGAGACATTGCACAAATGAAGGCTATCATCAGTGGCTTGGGTTGAGGGGTACCCCCAACCGTGCTCTTTGCTGACCATAGGCGGTGCGGCAGGGGAGGGGAGGGGTGGCAGAAGGGAGCTGCTGCCCCAACCGGCGGCAGGGGGGGGGGGCAAAAGTGTTACAAGAAAAGTGAAAAGTAAAAGTGTTACAATTACAAGACGGAACCCGAGCCGAATCGAGTGTATAGCGTTGTTTTGTGAAACAAACTATTCTCGCGTCTGCTAAACTTCTAGGGAACAAAACATGCCATCAGGGTTTTACGGAAAGGGTGCGACTAAGTCTTAGCATTGTGGATGGCAAAATTGGAAGATCTTTCGCCCTCGTCTTGTGTGCTAGCACACCCGGTGTATTGAAGAGTTCGTCCCTCGGCTGTTTCGGACAGATTGCTATTAGGAGTTTTACGTAACACTCAGCTACTGAGGTCAGACGGGGTCAAGTGCCTCTCATCCCGACGGAAAGGCGGCCACTGCATAGGAATTAAATCTCGCACACCTGGTTAACCTGACAAATAAAACAAAACTGAGAGGCAATATGGTCATACGCACTGTCGTGCCCCAAATGCGCTAAATCCCAAATATATGCTATGGTACGATGTAACAGTATGCAAGTGACGGCGTTTCCAGCAACATACTGTTCAGGAACGACGCAGATAACCAGAAATTAAGTCTGCTATCGAATACAACAGTAGTATGCATTCGACCATTACATTACAAGTACGAAATCAGAAAAAATGTGGCTAAAACCCAGTTCCAGTTTGCGGCATAAAGCCGTTATTTTTAAGAAAAGGTGGTGTTGCGTCACCGAAAAAAAACAGGCAGGCGGATCATGTCAGGCGTTTAAAAACCTCATGTAAGAGTACAAACGCGACTGATTGTTCGATGATATGCATGTTTGAGTGACAGAGAGCCCAGCCTTTACTGGTGTCCTGCAGATTGGTTGTGGATCCCGACCGGTTTCCCCGGCACGTCGGTGTGCCGCGCGAGGCGGCCGGTCCCGAGCCATGGCCGAGGCTGCGGGCCGCGCGGCGGCAGCAGGCGGGCCAGTGGGCCAGTGGGCCAGCCGGCCAGCGCCTCGTCGCCGCGCCGGCCGCCGCGAGCGGAGGTCTGCCCTCGGCCGCAGGGAGCAGGGGTCACGCTGTTCTCGGCCGTCTCCGGCCGCCGACGCGGTGACCTGCCATGACGGCCCGTGTTGCCGTGTCGGTAAAGCCCACTCCGTCAGCCTGATGCGCCACGTTGGCTTTAAAGAGCCTCGTCCACGTGGACACGTTAGGTCTGACCGTGCCATGCCTACTCCGCACTCCTCAGCCGGCCTGGTGCCGCCGCGTGACATGCCCTGCTAGCGGCCGGGCCCGCCGTGCGGTGACCGCACATCCCACCTCGGCTCCGCTCGGACGGGACCCCTGACCTCTGCAATCTGCACCACTGGCTGCAGCTGGGAACGGGAACGAGCAGAGCCTCCACCGAAGCAGAGGCCGGCGCCCAGCGCGCTGCGACGCGCTACATCGCCGGGCCGCATAACGACCGCCATTGGCCAACGGATTCGCCGGACGTGTTGCGTTACGGAAGGATAAGGGTCAGGAGCGAATCGTGTTTATCACGCATACATATGGATACCATATAGGACATTGGTATCAGATCGTGCCACAAATAACGCGGCGCCAGGGCACATGTCAGACGCAAGTGCGTCGAAGGTCCTGGACATATCCTGGGGCGCTGCAGGGTCATACGCCACTGATTCGCTTGGAAACCACAAATCACCATGCCACTCGCGCGTATCCAATGGGGGCGTACTCCACAGAAGGGTCACCGCGCGGGCTAAGGCATAGTTGTTGGTCCTCCAGGCGCACATAGTTCTGCCCCATCGTTGTCCATTCTCCTTCACCCTATAGCCCTTTAAGGATCATTACGGGTCGGAAGGGCGCTAATCCACATAGCCAAGGCGTGCGTGCCCAGAGTGTTAGTCAGCATGCGGCGGCGAGGCCGGACAACAGCACGCTGCGCCAAGAGGTTTGGCCGCTGGCCGGTGCCGCGCGAGCGCGGGTCGGTGCACTCAGCCCGATATCGGTTCTGGTCCGGCGGCCTGCCGTACCCCCCACCCCCTCCCCCCTCCCTGCCGCACATCCCATCACCGCCACTAACCCTTCTCACAGTCGATTTATTCCCACATAAGCATTCAGGCGGCCGCTCATTATTTTTTAGGGAGCCGTCTGCTCCGGGAGCGGAAGCCATTGCCATCGCTGATAATTGCCGACCGGCGAGCGGTGCGATCGCGGGTGCAGCGCCGGCCGGCCATCGGGCCCGGTGGCGCGCGGCCCGGCGCCGCGGCGCCGCCGGTCGGGCCGCGCCGCCTACGCCGCGGCCGGCCGTTACCAGCCGAATGTCACGCCAATCAGTCGGGATCTGCGCGCCGTCTCCAGATTGGGAGGTGCTGAAGCCGAATGCGGCGCGGCCGACGCCCGGCCGGCCGCGGGGCCGAGCTTGGGCTGACAGCGAGGGGATCTGGGCGGACGCTGGCGCCGGCTCTGAATAAGAATCGGCCATGCGACGCCAGCAGTCCTCACGACGCTTGTAAAGTCATGTTGCTCGCTTTAGCAGATAGTAGCAGTCTGATCGGTTTCTTCAGCCGCCATCTGTGACGGTAGCGGTCCGCACCTTACCGCCGGTGCCTCAGACATGATATGCTTCGTCACATACCCGTGACAAGCACGCGAAAAGCTGCATCTGACCGTCCTCACGTTGACATACGGAAGCGACCGATCCGGCTGGCGGCCAGGTCACAAGGCTCAGAGCCTGTGCCGCCGCCGCCGCCGCGGGCTGGCACACCGACGCCGCCACCTGGCACCCCAGCCGGTGCCAGACGGCCCGGGCGGCCACCAGGCGCCGCCGTAAGGCCGCGGAGCCTGGCATGGGACGAGGCGTCAGTGGCAGCCTTAACGGCGGGCTGGTGTCAGTCCGCCCGGAGCCAGGACGGTCTCAGCCCGTCACCGGCGGCTGCTCTGGCGGCGGGCTGGTGTCAGTCCGCCCAGAGCCAGGAAGGTCTCAGCCCGTCACCGGCGGCTGCTCTGGCGGCGGGCTGGTGTCAATCCGCCCGGAGCCAGGAAGGTCTCAGCCCTTCACCGGCGGCTTCCCTAGCGGCGGGCTGGTGTCAGTCCGCCCGGAGCCAGGACGGTCTCAGCCCTTCACCGGCGGCCGCTCTAGCGGCGGGCTGGTGTCAGTCTGCCCGGAGCCAGGAAGGTCTCAGCCTGTCACCGGCGGCTGCTCTAGCGGCGGGCTGGTGTCAGTCCGCCCGGAGCCAGGACAGTCTCAGCCCGTCACCGGCGGCTGCTCTAACGGCGGGCTGGTGTCAGTCCGTCCGGAGCCGGAACGGTATCAGCCCGTCACCGGCGGCTGCTCTAACGGCGGGCTGGTGTCAGTCCGTCCGGAGCCGGGACGGTCTCAGCCCGTCACCGGCGGCTGCTCTGGCGGCGGGCTGGTGTCAGTCCGCCCAGAGCCGGGACGGTCTCAGCCCGTCACCGGCGGCCGTGCGCCAGCGAAGTGTTTGGCGTCCACCGGCAGGGTGGTGCCAGTCCGCCGAACACGAGGGCTGCAGTCGGTAAGGTCTTCTGTTCCAGACGCGGCTGAACTCGGCAGAGGTCCCCCTATCCAGTACCTCCCGCGTTCAAAGGGATATCTCATTATCGGCCGTGCACGGTCTAGTGTGCCAAGCACCTGTGCCTGTGCACTTTACTTTGACCTGTGTGCGTTAAGATTAATGGCGAAAATCTATACCATTTCATGATGCACTCCTTGAGTCCTTACATACGCGGGGTCTCGGGCATGGGTACGAGGGCTAAAAAAGCTGTTGTGGAAAAGCCGCCCGAACATTTTCCGCCCATGCCTCGAGGCTGGGCGTCTCCCTCGAATATCCTACGTTTGTTCCTGCCTGCCCATCATCACGCCACGAATACCCATCGCTACGACACGGCGCCGCCGGAAATCGAATAGTACCCGTCAGCCGTGACATGTGCCGGACGGTGCGACGTCCTTCGGCACGTCACACCTGCCTGCCGTCCGCCAGTGCACTGCCGTCCTGGCACCTGAGCGCACCTGCCGCCGCGGCCGGCAGCGCGGTCGCCGTGCTGTCTCGGCCGCGCGGCGCCTCCGCAGCGCGCCCTGGCGGCGCCGGCCACTGGCAGCGCCGCGCGGCGTCACCGGCCGCCGCCGCCGCCGCCGCCGCCGCCGCGCAGGCGCACTCGTATGTGAACTGGGGCGGGCGGAGCGGCGCCGGTACGGCACAGCGCGCCGCCGGCGCCGCAGTGAGTGTCCGGACCTCGCGGGAGGGGGACCGCCGAGCCACGCTCGTTATCCGCACCCCGCGAGCCCGCGCCGGAGCGCTGCGAGCAGGGGCGGGCGGCTGGCCTGTGGCGCGGCGCGTCTGCCGGCAGTGTTGTGACGCGCGTCACTCCGAGCGGCGGCGGCGGCGGCACGGGGGAGGCCGGCAGCCGGTGAAAGCGGGCAGCGACGCAGCTGCGCGCTCTCTCCCGACGCGACAAAGGCGCCGGCCGCAGGCGGAGCGCGCTGGGCGCCGCGCGGTCAGCCGGCGGGGTGAGAGCGCACATTCCTGGCGTGGTGACCGGCGGCGGCCACAAGCGACCACGCCCGCTGCTGAAGCTCGCGCAGGGAACGCGGATGGCAGTGCGCGCCGCACGGTTGCGGGCCGTGTGACTGGCGTCCGGCCGTGACGCGGCCGCTGAGCCGAGGCACGATGCGGTGGTGCGTACTGTGCGTGGCGCTGGTCGTGCTGGTGGCGGTGGCGCGGGCCGCCCAGTGCCCGTCCGTCTGTTCCTGCCGCTGGAAGTACGGCAAGCAGACGGTGGAGTGTCGTGCCGGAGGGCTGCGTGCCGTGCCCGAGGGCCTGGACCCGGGCACGCAGGTGCTCGAGCTCTCCGGGAACGAGCTGCGCGAGCTGCCGGCCGAAGTGTTCCGCCGCGCCGGCCTGCTCAATCTGCAGAGGATCTTCCTGGCTAACTGCCGGCTGCGAACGGTGGACGACTCAGCGTTCGCCGGCCTCACCAACCTGGTCGACCTCGACTTGTCGGGCAACACGCTGACCGCCATCCCGCAGCGCAGCCTGCTCAGCGTGCCGGCACTGCGCGAACTCAAGATGGCCAACAACGCCATCCAGCGCGTGGAGGCGGACACGTTTTCGGCCGTGCCCGGCCTGGTCAAGCTGGACCTGAGCGACTGCCAGATCTTCGAAGTCGACCCGGCCGCCTTCGACCCGCTCGACATCCTGGAGAGCCTCAAGATCAGCGGCAACCGGCTGCAGGCACTGCCGGAGCGCACGGTGGTGGCCCTGCGGCGCGTACACAACGTCGAGCTGCACGCCAACCCGTGGGAGTGCGACTGCCGGCTGCGGCCGATGCGCGACTGGCTGCAGCGCCACAACATCCCGTACCCGATCGCGCCCAGCTGCCACGGGCCGCCGCGGCTGGCCGGCCGCTCCTTCAAGGAGCTGTCCGCCGATGACTTCGCGTGCCGGCCGCAGCTGCTGCCGATGGTGCGCGAGGTGGCGGTGACGGCCGACGACAACGCCACGCTCACCTGCCGCATCGGCGCCGTGCCGCAGGCGCAGCTCAGCTGGTTCTGGCGCGGCCAGCAGCTGGATAACAGCACGCGGCTGGACGGCGGCCGGCGGCCGGTGATCGTCGAGGAGGGCCGTTCTGAGGAGCGCGTCAGCCGGCTGGTGATCCCGGCCGTGCGCGCCGAGGACGCCGCCGCCGACTTCCACTGCGTGGGCGTCAATCCGGCCGGCGACGCCGAGACCAACTTCACTCTGACGGTGGGAGCGCGGCTGGCGCTGCTGGCGCCGCTCGACGCCGGCCAGATCGCCGCCATCACCGGTGGCCTGCTGCTCGCTCTCGTGGTCGGCATCACGCTCGTGATCCTGTTCCTGAGGAGGACGCGCCACATGCGCCAGGACGACAAGGCCAAGCGGCCCCCGCCCGGACCGGGAGGCGTGGTCAACGTCGAGACGGCACCCGACGACGACGTTAACCCCGTACAGAAGCCGCCGCGACTCACCGAGCTCAGCTACAGTCGCTATGGCGCCAGCAACGGCCACGCTGTGCCCTCCCAGTCGGCCGTCTATGTCCGCGGGCCGGACCTTATCAACGAGATCGACGGGCGACGCATGCCGGCCCCGACCGCCGTGCACGGCGCGCCCGCGGGTGGCTACGGCCTCTCTCCGGCCGGCTACGACGCCTCTCCAGCCGGCTACGGCGCCTCTCCAGTCGGCTACGGCGCCTCCCCAGCCGGCTATGGCGCCTCTCCAGCCGGGTACGGCGCCTACCCCGCCGACTACGGCACCCCCGCGCCGCCGTACCAGGGCCGCGGCCAGGTGAATCCGCTGGCCGACGACAGCTACGAGCTGCAGCAGCTGCCGTCCACCAGCGACTCCGACCCGGAGCGGCTGGACCCGGCCGTGTACGGCTACCCGGCCGACTACGGCCTGCCCATGCCCGAGATGGCGGAGCCGGCGTACGGGCCGGCGGCGGAGCGGCTGGCGCCGCCGCCGGCCGGCCTGCGACCCGTCTCCACGTCATCGGCCGAGACGGCGCTCAACACGTCCCGCGACTCGCGCGGCGAGCTGAGCACGTCGCGCGACAGCGTGGGCTCGGGGCCGCGGCGGCGCGGCTGGCAGATGGGCGTGCCCGTGCTGCCGCCGCACCCGGACCAGGCGGCCGCCGCCCGCGTCGGCCACCAGGCCGGCACGGACGTGTGAGGCGCGGCGCGGTGTGACGGTGCGACGGTGTGACGGTGCCGACGACGTCACGGGGACGGCGGCCGTCGCCGGCAGCGCGCCACCCGGGTGAGCGTCGCAGCCGCTGAGCCACGCGTGGGCAGCGAGTGGTGCTGGCTGTGGCTGACAGGCCGGCGCGAGTGGTCGCCGCGGCGTCATAATCGTGGGCGCCGGACGGCCGCTGCTGTTGAGCGTCCGCGTACTGTGTCGTTATCGGTTAGACTCCGGTGTCTCGCGCGTCGCATAGTATTGAAATCTAGTCAGACACCTGGACTGCAGATGATCCTCTCCATTCATGTGTTACGTGGCCAACCGCTCGCGACTGCAGCATATTTTAAATAACGAGCCTCTTTGTATACATACGTCCGGTGTTGTGGCGCCTTTGAGCCGCGGGGCGAGGCGAGGCGGGCGTAGGACGTCATTCGGGCGCCCATTTCGAGCCATCAGGCGGACGGCCCTCCGGCGCTCGAGCGCCGCCAGGCGGCCGGCCGGCACCGGCACGGGCAGATCGCACCGGGATGATCACGTCAGCCGGCTGGCTCAGCTCCAGCAGTAGCCAGCCGGCGGCTGCACACTGGACGTTCCACATGCATAAGCGCGTCCTGTGCGGCTCGGCGTGGGTTGCCCGTTCACATCCTGGGTCACTTTGCGAGCATCAAACTAAGTGCAAGGTAAATGAATCTATACATGATAAGAAATGCCAGGCAGAACTGCTCAAAGAGCAGCCTTTACCAAAAGGGTCAATAATATAAAACCTGATTTCCTTCTTATCCAGTAACGAGATAGCAGTGCAGGTCACTTATGGTGCGAGTTGCGAAATGCAATCGTATTGCAGGGAACAAAAGCTATTAATGATATATATATATATATATATATACATATATATATATATATATATATATATATATATATATATATATATGCATAGATATATGCATTTTAGCTACATCCTTTTTCCTCACGATGCGTTATCAAAACTTAAAAAAACGCAGCTGGGACTTAAGACATCGCATGGACGTATGAGGCGCGGTTAAGAGATTAAGTACAGCTGACCGTGAATTGACACCATGGGTCGGCCGCGGCCATCACGGGCGTGCCGCCAGTCAGATGGACTTATATTTAGCTTATGACAGCTCACGGCCATTACGTGTCAGTGAGCTTACAGCCATGATATCAAATACAGACCGTCTGTATTGGACACCGGCGGACTGAACAGCTTTGGACCCACTGAGTAGAATTCAGCTTCCATGGGAGTTTTAACACGGGCTACCGGCGCAATATATGCACGTGCAGCGTGATGGCATTTCGCACCGTTAATCCTATATGACGTTAAGTATTTCCTGTGCCAGATAGCTCTTCACCTGCTAATAGCAAGCACAGGCTGGTATATGCTGCGCGAGTGCACAACGCAGGCCAAAAGGGATGGGGTGCTACCAAGCATGCGTAAGGGCGCCACGAGCCATCTGGTGCAACATCTCAAAAGTGGGTATACTGGCGCAGTAGCTGTGAATGTCAAGCAGAGGAAGAAATTTGGGCGCTTCAGCTCATCGTGCCGTCATCGACGCAGCCCTACCCAATACGGGAAGCAAGTGAGCACGTGCAGCCGCACCAACATTGTCAGAACAAACGCAAGCTCATACATGATATCGAAATCTTCCCGGACGCCAGTCAACATCCACGAACACCACAAAACGAAATGGAGGTGCACCAAACACGCCCCCCCCCCCCCCCCCCCCCCCCAGTCTCCGAAGACGTGCGCGCGCAGTCCCGTAGCATAGACACCATGGAAAGGTGCGCGCCGTCATAGATGCTGTAAGCGTCACAAGCAGTGCCAAATTTGCTGGTTCCAGCTGACGTCATCGGCTCCTCAGCCCATACAGCGGGGTACTGAGGGGTACTGAGGAGCGCGTGCAGTTGACAGTCAGCCCTGCCGCTGGCTGCACACAGACAATACATGCCGAATCGATGAAGCTCACATGCTCAAACAGCCAGTGCACCACATTTCACGCATGTACGTCCTTCACAGAGCAGTGTGTTGAACTTCCAGTGCTACGCCTCAATTTCCCTCAAACGATTCAGCGAAACTACGCGGTCCCATCCGTCGTCGTCTTCAAAATTAATGCGTGTCTTTTCAAACGCATCCTTCCATTGTCAGAAATGAACGCATAACTGGCATTGCAAGCATATCAATCAAACAAATCGTGAGCATTTATAAACGTGGACCTGGTCTAGTTTCCGGCCTAGCTGCATTGGACATCTATTAAGACAACTTATTACTGCAGCAACGTGTAACAGCACGGCCAGCATGGCGAATTCACCTAACACCAAATATTGATGCCCATTTCCTGGCAACGTCCCACTTCGTGGAACCAATCGCAGCCTTCACAGTGGTGGTGAAGTTCGCTGCATATACAGGATTATCTTCACTTACTTACGCAGATCACCTTAAAAGGAGTATTTCACACTTCCACGGGGTTTTGAGCCGACATAGCGGTCTTGAAGACACAGCACTATGGTCTTGAAGACCATAATGTGAGATTCACAGTACCGCCCTTCTTTTAAGACCGAAACCAGTCCAGTTTCTGAGCTACACGCCCGGAAAGACGTACGGACTATTTCGTGCAACCATTTCAATGTCACCCAGGCATTCATGATAAACACACATGCCATAATAACGTCATTCAAATCCTGCCCTTCCATTCGTTGTAAGGATCAATGCCGAGAAACGTACAAGTATCGAGTCGTTCATGTCTGGTGTTTTTGGGCACGATTTTCAGATATAACCACCGTCAACTGGCTCTCACTCAATGTTGTACAAGGCTTGATAACGCAATAAAACAATGACGTATTGAGCAGCATATTTGCCACACTGAGAAAGTATGCCGCCTGGAGCGGCCTTTTCCACTTAAGAGTAGAGCAATTGATATAAGTGAGCTTAGTTCTACATATCTGAAGCATACTTCAATGTCTGTAAGCGTGGAACATTTCCTTTAAAAGGAGTGTTTCGCAATTGTGTGGGGTTTTAAAGTGAAAAGCCATGTTGAAGATGCAGTTCACAGCAGTGTAGTTCACAGCCCTGCCCTTTTATAGACCTATCTCCTTCTAGTTCCTGAATATGCGTCCTAGTTCTCACGGAGTCCCTAAGTTCTAGCTCCTAGTTCCCGCAAAGGTGCGCAAAGTGTCTCGGAAAGACTATTTCGAGGACACCCAGAGGTTCATGACGTCATTTTGACGTCATTCAAAACATATCATTTCATTAGCCATGCGAGGATCAATGTCAAGACATGCATAGTTGTCGAGTCGTTCATATCTGGGGTTTGTGAGCACGATTTTCAGGTACAACGACCGCCAATTGGCTATCTATCAATGTTGTGCAGGGTACCATGTTGTAATCAAGCAATGACATATTGAGGAATATATCTACTAAACAGAGATATTGTGTTACCCGGAGCAGGTATTTCGCTTCCAAGTTTTGTTCACTTTTCCACTTAAAAGCATGACGATCGCTATAAGTCAGCGTATTTACTCACATATGATGTTTGCTTCAGTATCTTCAAATGCGGAACATTCCCTTTAAGGACGAAGACCCGTCCGGGCAAAGTATAGGCTGTCATGTTACAGGCAGTATCACCAGGATCTCCCGGACTTCAAGGATTAATGCCGACCGCTACGACCAGCTTTCCTCAGCGAAACAAGGCTTTTCAGAAAATGCGGCGTGTAGAAAAGCCGCGAATCTGGGCGCGGAGCCCACACGGCCAGGATTACTGCACGCGCAGCGGCTGCAAAAACACGGCTTTCTTCTCGCACAAAAACCATCAAACAATTCCAGGGGAACCTCCGGCGCGTATTTCATTGCAAAACAGCCGTCTTGCGTCTTCAGACTACTGCGTAACGTAGAGCTGAGTTTTGACTGAATCAAGACACACCGTTTCCAATGCACTGCAAGACCGTTGTTAGTTTACCGTATTGCTGTTCTCGGTTCAACACAACGCACTTACTTCCCAGTCTTATGAAGTGCTGTGCACTGCATGACGCCGCAGTACCGTTTTCAGTCCAATAAGTACCGTTTCCAGCCCGCTACAAGACACTTATGCTCTCAGTCCTTCCAGTCCGTCGCAGGGCAGCGGAGTGGTGTTGCAAGTCCATCACAGGGCGGCGGAGTGATGTTCCCAGTTCTCAACAGTCCGTCACAGTTCGGTTGCGTGGTGTTTCTAATCCGTCGCAAGGCGGCGGCGTGGTGTTCCCAGTCCGTCACAGGGCGGCGGCGTGGTGTTCCCAGAACGTCACAGGGCGGCGGCGTGGCGTTCCCGGTCCGTCACAGGGCGATGGCGTGGTGTTTCCAGTCCGTTACAGTTCGGTGGCGTGGTGTTTCCAGTCCGTCGCAAGGCGGCGGCGTCGTGTTTCCAGTCCGTCGCAGGGCGGCGTCGTCGTGTTTCCAGTCCGTCGCAGGGCGGCGGCGTCGTGTTTCCAGTCCGTCGCAGGGCGGCGGCATGGTGTCCGCCGTCGGCGGGCGCGGCGAGCGGCCACAGGTCACGGCCAATCAATGCCGCCAGGTGAGGCGCGCCGAGCGTGAGCAGGGCCCGGCCGGCCGCCGAGCCGCCTGCCGTGCTGCTAGACACGGTGCCGGCCACGGCACGGGCCACGCCGGGCTTACGTCAGCCGGCGTCGGCGTGGCTGCATTAATGACGCCGCACGGGCGATTTCCACCACGACACCAGGAGCAGCGGAGCCTGGCTGGCGCTGATCGGCCCCACGCCGGCCGCCGCACGACCAACCTCGGCCTCCAGTTCACATGCGCGGCCTTCCTTGTCTAAAGGTCGTGTAGCGGCCGGCGGCGTTCCCCGCTCGCAAACTTCAACAGCTGGAGCTGTTCAAAACAACGCCGCCACCGACCGCCTATTACGGCACAGTCCTGCCAACAGGTAAAAGCCGCGATAAATTGGTAGTCGCATTCTGACCGCGACGATCGAACGATAGCTCGC